TTGAAATAAAGTGCTTTGTTTGTGGTATCCCGCAGATATCTGAGGATCCATTTGAATGCTTCCCAGTGTACATTGCCCAGATTATTCATATAACTGCTAACAGCTCCCACTGCTTGAGCAATATCTGGTATAGTGCAAACCATGGCATACATCAGACTTCCAATTGTTGAGGCATACGACACATTTACCATGTGTGCATGTTCTTCTTCTATCTTTGGTGACTGTTCTTTGGATAGTTTAAAATGAACACCTAAAGGTGTACTTACTGGTTTAGCATCTTGTATGTTGAACCTGGAGAGTACTTTGTTGATGTACTCAGCCTGTGATAACATCAAAGTCCTCGACTTTGTGTCTCTCTTAATCCTCATCCCAAGAATATGCTTTGCAGCGCCCATATCATTCATTGCAAACTGCTTCGACAATTTTGGCTTCAAGTTTATAATTTCTTGCATGTATGAGCCTGCAACGAGCATTTCATCAACGTACAACAATAAAATAATGAAGTTGTTGTCGAACTTGTTGATGTAGCAACAATGATCTGCTTAGCATCTGGTAAAACCACTGCTACCTATGAAGCTATCAAACTTCTTGTACCACTGTCTAGGAGCTTGTTTTAAACCATACAAGCTCTTCTTCAACCTACATACCAGGTTTTTCTTGTCCGCCTCTATGAAGCCTCCTGGCTGCCTCATATAGATTTCTTCCTCCAAATCACCATGAAGGAAAGTTGTCTTTACATCTAACAACTCAAGATGTACAGTCTCTGCAACTACAATTTTCAACACCAGTATGATTATAAACAGTTTCACGATTGAAGAGAAAATTTCATTATAGTCAATACCTTCTTTTTGCTGAAAACCTTTGACAACCAATATTGTTTTATAGCGTTTGCTCCTATCGTGCTATTTTTTTATCCTGTAAACCCACTTGTTATGGAGTACTTTCTTGTCTGGTTGTAATTCAGCTAATCCCACGTCTGATTTGACATAAGTGAGTCCATCTGATCTTTCAATGGAAGACTCCTACTTGACTGAATCATTCACCTGTATTGCTTCATCATAGCACTCTGGTTCACCATTGTCAGTCAGCAACAAGTAGTGTAAATAAGGTGAATAACGTTGGGTTGGTTTAGGAATTTTGGAGGAGCGTCTCAGTTCTGGTGTGCCTAGTTCTTTTTGAACTGCTTCAGGACTGATCTGAACATCATTTCCAGAAATCTCCTCAAACTCAGCAAATTTCTTTGTTTCTATGGTTGACATGTATTTGTACATCATATTCTAATTGAAAATTACATCTCTGCTTCTGATGATCTTTCAATTTTCATAGTCCCAAAAATGGTAACCAAACTCATCACCATCATAACCAACAAGGACACATTTGTTGGACTTAGCGTCAAGTTTACTTCTTTATGCAGAATTTATGTGTACATAAGAAATACAACCAAACACTCTTAAGTGTGAAAGGTTTATTTCTTTTCTGCTCCAAACTTCCTCTGGTATTCCATCATCCAAGGGAACTAAGGGTTCACGATTGATCAAGTAAGTTGCAGCGTTAATAGCTTCAGCCCATAGCAATTTGTTCATTCAGAGTTATGTTCATGCGCTCTGCTACGCCATTCTGCTGCGGTGTCATTGGAATTGTTGTCTCCATCTTCATCTAATTATTTACGCAAAATTCTTTGAATCTACTATTTTTATATTCTTCTCCATTATCAGACCTCAACTGCTTGACTTTCAAACCAATCTCATTTTCCACCATGGCCTTCAATTTTCTGAAGGTATCAAATACTTCTGATTTCTTCATCATAAAATAAACCCACACCTTCCTTGTAGAATCATCGATGAAGGTGACATAATATAGTGAGCCTGTAAGAGATAGAACTAGAGATGGTCCCCATATATCAGTATGAACCAACTCTAACTTTTCAGTCTTGGGTGTCTTGTCAATCTTTGCAAAATTGACTTTGTTTTATTTGCCAAAGATGCAATCCTCACATAGTCCAACATTTATTCTTTTTAGATCCGGCAACTTCCTTTTTGACAAAAGTGTATTCATCCCTTTCTCACTCATATGGTCAAGCCTTTGGTGCCATAGGTTTAATTTTCCATCAACATCTTCTACTGCAATGATATTCTCCAAATTTGAGGTTACATAGAGAGTATCAGTCTTCTTACCATGAGCAATGATGAGTGCTCCTTTGGTAATCTTCCATTCACAACTTGAAAATGTTGTACAATATCATTCTCCATCAAGCTGTCCTATAGAAATCAAATTTCTTTTGAGGCCAGGAATATGTCTCACTCCTTTCAGCTTCCAGGTGGTCTGGTTTGGCAACTTTAATCGGATTTCTCTTTTTCCAACGATCTTTAAGGTTTTATCATCAGCTAGATGAACCTTCCCAAATCACCACTGACATAGTTTTCCATGATTTCTTGGCATGGGGTAGCGTGGAAAGATGCCCCTAAATCCAAGATCCATGATTCAATCGGACTGTTGACGCTTAGAATCATGACATCACCTTTTTTCTCTGTCATATTGCATATTCTTGTGTGTCGGTATCTTTCTTCAGTGCTCAACAATCTTTTTTAAAGTGACCCTTCTTGCCGTAATTATAATAGTTAAAATCTTTTTTCCCGTTCTAGATTTCGATCTGCCATGATTTAGATTCTTTTTGGTGTTCTCCCTCTAGACTCTGTGTGCAAGGCTGAGGAGCTTGATGCTTCACTCGATTCTCTCTGTCAAACTCAATACCAAATCCCGAATATCGTCGAATTTCAATTTATTGTTTCCCGATGAGCTGCTAACTGTAACTGTAGCATTCCAACTGTATGGTAAAGATGATAAGAGAATTAAAGCTCGAACTTCATCATCGAATTAAATTTCTACGAAACTCAATTGGATTGTGATTGTGTTGAGTTCATTTATGTGTTGAGCCACTGATGCCCATTCCGCCATCTGCAAATTGAATAATCGCCTCATCAAGTGAACATTGTTTGAGGCCGATGACTTCTCATACATACTAGAGAGAGTCGTCATAATACTCGCCGTGGTCTTTTTCTTTGCTATGTTGAAAGCAACATTGTAGGATAATGTCAGTCGGATAACTCCGAGGGCTTGTCTGTCGAGAAGAACTCAGTCTTCATCTTTCATGCCCTATGGTTGCTTTCCTAAGAGAGATTGATATAGCTTTTTCTGGTACAAAAAATCTTCAGTCTGCATCTTCTAAAAGCCAAAGTCCGCACCATCGAACTTCTCAATTTTCACCTTCATTTTTTGTCTGCAACCATCGCTCCCACTCGAATCTGGCTTTTTGGATCGTTTCTAACAATTTCTGCGAACCGTATATTAGAACACCTCCATCGATAAACTCGTATCACCGACCAAATTTTAATATTCACATGAATAGTAGCATTGCAGAAAAACTGACAAAATTCACCACCAAAAGCTCTTGATACCAATTGTTAGGAAATTAGACAAGTAATTTCCCTATAACCAGATTAGTGAGAATACGAAATAAAAGTAAAATAATAATACCGAAATTGATAACGAAGTTCGGCCAATTATGCCTACGTCTCTAGACTGTTGCAGATCTTTTACTAAAGGGAAAAAATTTATAGGTATTTACAAAACACTCACAAGAAAACTCTCTAAACTCTTTAGTATTGGGAGAAATAAATGATTTTGGGATGATTTTGAAGCTAAATGGGTTAGGGTATTTGTTGTTGAAGCTAAATGGGTTAGGGTATTTATTGTTGAAGCTTAAGGACTAATCTTATAAATACCCTAAAGTACATTAACTAAATTTGGCAATTTTCCCTTACCACAATTTCAACAAAATCTGCTCCTTTTGACTTCACCATTCGGTGCCCCTTTTTTGATCCATTCGGTGCATCAATGCACCGAATAGCTTGACTTTCAACAACACTAATAGCTGAAATGGATGGACAATAATAACCTTGTTCTGGTGTACAACAAGTCCCCTTAGCAGCCCAAAAAGGTGAATTTCAATATGGTTCCCCGTTACATTAGCTGTGAAATTCCTAGTTATTGCTCTCTCAACACCACCTGTCTCTTTCGATATATCAAAATCCCTTAATTATCAGATTCCCTGATAAAATGTTGATGAGATACTAGAGCGATAAGATTTCTAAATGTAGAATTTAGTGAACACAATTATCATCATAGAAAGAAACATCACAAATAGAGGGAATACATTTTACAATATACAACTTAGAATGGCATGAATTTTTGCTTCAAACGAAACATTACTGAATATAAACATCAAAAACACGCCTTACTAGACTCTTCCAAGACTGTAAGCTTCTGTATTTGAAACTTGCTTTGGCAAAGAACAAGGTTACATTATAGACCCCATTCTCGAGGCTTAGACCATAGTATCTGAGTGATCCAGGGGATAGCCTTGAACTCTGATACAGCTCCGGAGTGTCGGTACCTCTCACTTGCGATGAGGCATTCTGCATATATTCTTGATTTTGTCTATCTGAAAACAAACCTACATTGCCAACTGACCACTTCTGTGTACTGGTTAACATAAATTTTGCTGTGTTGAGAGTGTCATCATCAGCCTCGAATGATATCCCATCAGATGTCATCTGTGGTCCGCCCACATTTGATTGAGAAGTTTGCATCTTCCAATGCCAACATTAAAATGTGTTAGCTAAGTATTAAGCACTAGTCAAGATTAAATATTATAATTAAGACCTCAACAAAGATAATGGCTCAAAATTTTGAACTAGTACATCGTGGAGGATTTCTATTGCATGGGAAGTTTCTTTGAAGGCATTCTAATCCTGGAAATATCCTGAGGAATTTCAAAACACTCCTGGCATAGAAACTGAAAGAATTCATTGCATAGAAGAGATAATAGCAAGCACTTGTCTTTATAGAGGTATAACTTATAAGAATTCTTTAAAGAAAGTTTAGGGGAAGGGAAAGTCAGGTGTTGAAGGAACAGTAACTCACCTTATATTTGAGCTACTAGGTGTGAAGTTGTTAGCTACAAAGTTCCTACATGAATTCCATGAAACTAGCTCTTTGGTATTTATTTGCAATTGATTACATTTTACAATGTGATATGAACAATAAGAAAGTATGCTCAATTTAAGCCCCAAAAATGGCATAAGCTTCAAAACAGTGTTTGAATTAGAAAGAAAATATAAGGAAGTAGCCTGGTCTAAAATACATACAGTTTTAAGCATGAGTTTACCCAAGAAGGCAAGTTTCCTGATAGTAAATTGTATGATAAATCTCTGCATAAAAAAGTATATCAGACAGCAAGTATATGCATACCATAATCAGAAGGATTTAACTGTTTTTCTATTTGATGGTTCACTGAATGGAGATACCGACTATGATTAATATCAGATGTTGGACATTTGAAAGTAACATTACATGAAATAAGTTACTGTTACTGTTACTGTGGTAGAATAACTTACATGGTCTGAAGAGTTTCACTCTTTTGGCTGAGAATAGAACCTGATAGACTATTATTTCCAAGAAACCTGGCCATTTCAGTAGCATGAATGAAGGGAATAATGTCAAGCGAAAACCATAAGGCTGGACCCTGAGATTTTCAAATATTAAAGGCGATTTTTCATTTTTCTGTTGCTTACAAGTCTCTGAGAGAATTCATAGTGAACAAAGCCCTTGGAATTTGGCCTGTTAAGTTGTTGAAACTCAAATCCCTGGAACCGTAAGAAATTAAACATGAAGTAAAGTGAATATCATAAATTACTCAAGCGATTAACTTTTAATAAAACTTGCAGCTTTTGTAAAGATTGTAATTCTGCATATAAGATGGCAAAATGCCAGTGAGCAACACATTTTTAGAACCTATAGGATTATTTTAAAAAAAAAGGAAAAATAAGTATGTTAATCAGATAAATTCAAATAGAGTATACTTCACTTACAAGAAACCATATGAATTTAAGAAGTAAAGAATATTCTTCACTTACAAGTCAGTCAAGTTCTTCAGATTTCTTAGGAACTCAAGAGAAGAACTCCCAATTTATATGCCTCCAATTCGCCTACATGTTATATGAGCATAAAAAACAAGTGCTTGTTATATACACATAAATTCATGAAAACATACATATATCATGCATGAATATGCAGACAAAGCAGAAAGTCCAATGGTGGAGGAGAGTATACCATCAAGAAAGCAAGATATATCTACATACAGAGAACTCAAGGAGGTTAAATTCACAAAATTGGATGGTATTGAACCTTCAAAAGAGTAACCTTCTAATCTCCTGTACAAACATTTGGCTGACTAATCAAATTGATGAAAAATCTTGGCAAATATCATTTTTTATGCCTGAATCAGAGAGAACTTATATGAAGATTATAATCAAGATGTTTTGATGAATTACAACGATGTAAGCTTTGTCCAGTTATTGCCAACAAAGTCTGGTATTTTGCCTGTGAATGCATTGTCAGATGCCCACCTGAAATTCAACAAAGCTTGCAGTTATTAATAAAATTTGTAGGACCAGGAGAGAGACAATAAGAATAAAGAATGATTTTTCTTATATAATTCGTAGTATTTTAAGGTTAGATAATGTTGAAGGAATCTCACCACCCAATCTACAACTGTTAATGTATCTGTCAAATTCATAAACCTATCTCAGTTATAATTTCATAATGTAACCTTTAAAGACAACCATGTACGTCCCTTACAAAGATTTAAGAAATAACTTACAATTGCTCAAGGTTGGCTGAATTACAAAGTTCTGGAGGCAATGTTCCATAAAATCATTATTATCAAAAGACCTGCATGACATTGGTCCATAATTTCGAGAGAAAAACTTAAAAAGAAAAAAATCTTCATAAATTATATCGTTAATTTCTATTGAGAGAATAACTGATGTTATCTAGTTTTGATTCAAATGGTATTAAAGCAACAACACTATAGCAGAATATGTACTAAGTAACTAAAACTTCATGCTTATTAAGGGGGTAGAATATCGTAAGATATTATCAACAAATTTATCCTTTCACATAGGCATTAGGTAGAATTAAGAGTAATTGTTTGCTTAAAAACAAAACTATTTTATCATATGACAAAAATGATGTGCATGGCAGAAATCGAACCCGCATGGACAAGCCCAAACTATTTGTAGTAATGCCCGATAACCATTCCGTCAAGTCCACTATGTTGTTACTATAATTTCATTTTTGGTATATTAAATTTAATCAAGAACCGTTTACACATGTTTAAAGCAATGTTATTAAAACCGGACCGGACCGGCCGGTTCGACCGGTTGAACCGTGAACCGGTGGGCTGTCCGGTCCAGTTAACTCCCAAAACCGGATGAGCACAGAATCGGTAAAGAACTGGAAGAACCGGCTGAAAACCGGTAAAACCGAGGTGAATCGGCTAAAAACCAGCAAAACCGGTTTGAACCGCCAGTTCACTTTTTTTCTTTAAAAAAAAATAAACCAAACGACGTCGTTTGTTCAACGAACCGAGTCAAATTCGAGTATTGCTGAGCTCGACTCGAACTCGAAAACTTTAAAAGTAAGCTCAACTCAACAAAAACTCACGAGCTAAAAATTATAAAGTTCAACTCGAACTCGAAATATAATACTAAAACTTGAAATCGAAAATGCTCGAACGCAAAAAAAATTTAGAAGTTCGATTGAAGCCTAAAATTTGAGCTCAATTGAAGCGAAAGAATAGTTCGCTTTGTGCTCACCAAAAACTCTATGTTTTAAATGTCAAATTACCTCTACTATTTATAGAAGTAAGTTGGGATGCTCTTCTATGTTTCTTAGCTATGTGGGATTGTTTTGTTCTCATTTTTACTCTTTAAACTTTTGAAATGCTCTTCTATGTTTTAGCCATGTGGGATTTTTTTTAAAACAATTAAACCAAATTACATCATTTGTTATAATTAAGCCCCAATTTTATTTTTTTATTATAGTTATATAATTATATTTATTATTTAATATGTTTTACCTTAAATATTATGTTGTAGTTGATTTGAATCATTTTGTTTCACTTGATTTTATGGTTTTTAATTATATATGTTATGACTTGTGATTTTATACCTTTTAATAATATATGTTATGACTTGTGATATTTATACCTTTTAATATTGTAAACTTAAAAAGAGTGTTACATATATTAATATTGCTTTGAATATTATGTAAATTTAAAAAAAATATTTTATATAAAATCCGGTTCAACCGCGGTTGAACCCGGTTGAACCAGTGAACCAGTACCTTCACCGGTTCAATGTCCGGTCCAGTTTTAAAAACATTGATTTAAAGTTAACGTAATTCTTGAAAAATAACTTGTCAATATTTTTGCACAAAAATCAAACAAGAAACAAAATTTAGGATTTTACCATGCACACAAATCGTACCACAAGTCTAGTTCTATAATTCTATCTCCCCAAAATAATCTCTCTTGTTCTTATTTGGTTTGCTCATGTTTTCATTTTAGTGAGGTTTATCAATCTGAATGAGAAACTGCTCGATGAAACTCCTAAATGAGTAGCTATGCATTGTGTGTTAGACTAGTCTATTGTTTGTGGTTAGACTGTTGAGTCATTGATACGATAATTTTCTTCAAATTGGATTTGATCTCGTCGATTGCACGTTTGATTTCAGTTTCTGGTAAGGCATCTAGATTACTCCACATTACTTTATGATTTTTAAGTTTATTAAATTGTGGTATAGTTTCTGATACGGTGATTCTCTTCAACTGTTCGATTGCATGTTGCTATCTTCGATTGTCTTATTTTTCTGTTAAATTCTGTCGTTCAGCGATGCCCGACCATTGTGCCGGAGTATAAACAATTTTCATCAATCTTAAATTTTAGGTTTCTTTTAATTAGATCCTTAATTCGATTAACTAGGATAAATATTGTAGCTTTAATTTTAGAGTTAGTTTGTTTAGGTCTGTAAAATTTCAAATTAATTCATGACTCAGACAAATTCTTAATTTTAAATTTAATTATGTTTAGTCCCTTAATTAGTTCTGATATATCTTATATAACATGAATGAGTAGCTTTCAGTTTGACAGTCTATCTATTTGTACCATCTCTATCATCAGTCTTCCTTTAGACACTAGAGAGAGCTAATGAAATTATTGAAAGTGTGCTCGAGTTTATATTTTTCGAGATGGATCATGAGGGCCAAAAGCTTGTATGAGTTGCATCTTTTTCAACTATGAAAGATGCACTCGATGCATAGAATCACCTTCAGGTATTAAGAATTTATAAGTTTATAACCTATCACCACTAGTTTAATAAATTTTGGAAAAAAAAATAAGTTCTTCTGACGCTTCGCCCCACTGGAGCAAAGTGGTGTGTTTTTGTTGATAATCTGAGTAGAAGAATGTCGAGGACTGCCTTATGGGAGCGGTTTTTAAACACTATGGAAAGATTAATAAAGTGTTATTCATGTTATTAATATAAGGCCAAAGTACATAGATGTGTTGGGAATCATGGTCTTTCCCGCTTTATGAAGTTAAGATAGACACTTAGAGATTACGGATAAAAGAGAGCAAGAGTATAATTCTCCAATTTGGAGATTATTTCACTATACAAAATAATAGTAGGATTACAAGAATGTGTTCACAAAATTTTACTCACACTTGGTGGCTCACTCAAGCTTGAGGATAAAGACTTCCCAAGCTATCTCTATTATATCTCAACAAGGCTCTCTAACTCTCTTAGTATTTTTGGATTTCTTGGATGGTTAGAAATGAAGTCTCAACCCCTATTATACTACTCCACCTCCACAATGAACAGTGGAGATTACTTACATCCAAGGGTAAAGATTAATTATCTATAATGCTCCGCACTCTGAGAATCTCTAGACTCTTCAACTCGCTTTCATATTCTTCCATACTCTTCCATAAGATTCCACACATCTCTAGAATATTCTAGAGGATTCCACACTCTTCCACAAGCTTATAGAGAGTTAAACACTTCTCTAAAGTTCTTCGAAATGTTCTAGAAGTATACACTTCTTCAGAAAGCTCTAAATTTTTTTAAAACCTCTCCAATTAAGGAGGGATCCAACAATATGCACGTTCGCTTTTGTCCATTTTTGAAACCAAGATGATAATCTCAAGGCCATTGAGAAAATCAATAACACTATGATTGATGGGAAAAGGATAACTGTTGTGGTGGTGAAGTATCAGAAAAGAGATGAGCAAAAGAAAAAAGAGGGGGAGGAGTTCAGGAGTCGTTAGGGAAATAGAGAAAAGAAACGACATTTTAACAAGTTTTGTGATGATAGATCTTATAAAGAGTCATTGATGGGAATTAAGAATGATCAAACGGGTGATGGAAGAAGAAAGAATAATAGTGATAGGGAGGTAAAGAGTCCTCTGAATATGTTCATACCGATGAAAGAAATGGAGTAGATTAAGTTGTCATATACAATTATTCTTAAATCCCACTGTTGAATTGGAGTTTATTCAAAATGTATTACGAGTGATGACTTCAAGGTAAAGTGGCATCTTGGGGCTATGCAAAGAAGATTACATTGTCACCTTTTCATCTAAGGAGGAGAAGAAGAAAGCGATAGAGAACAGAGCGAATGATTTAGAATTCTGGTTTGAAAAGTTGGTCTCTGTGTACCAAGGGATTAATATCTATGGCTTTTTGCTCAGTAATATAGATGTGCATATGAATTGCTGGTGTGGAGACTTCTTTTTGAAACT